TACTACTACTATAGTAGTAGGTGTGTGTGTGTGTGTGTGTGTGTGTGTGTGTGTGTGTGTGTGTGTGTGTGTGTGTGTGTGTAAAAACAGTAAATTGTAACCAAATAGTAGAGAATATTCACAGAAAGCAAATTTTAAATGTGAAATTTGCATATACACCATGAGTTATGTTCACCTGATCAGAGAACAGAACGTATGCCATGTGACATATGAAACCCATCAAAATAGCTTCATCTGTAAACTGAACACATACTATTCAGTACCATTTATTTGCCCACCCTACTTATTTTACTTGAATACTATTTGCTGTTAGGGCTGTCTATCCTAAATAATTAATGTTCATTATGGCCTGAAATACAATGATATATTGATCCAAAAAGTGTCCAAAAGTTACTCAGAAAAAATGCCAGCAAAAGGTTACCGGTAGTGGGAGCTGCCAAAATCTAATTAGATCATTCCATTTAATCAGTGACTGGGTTTAGTCTCAGTCATATGTTGCATATGAATCAATCACTTTGGAATTAGTGTTTCTTTTTTTCTGGCCATGAGCAGAGTGGAAGCAGTTTGGTTCTACAGCCCTCAGTGAAACTCTGACAATGACTATTGTGAAAGATTCATACTATCAAGCACTCCCAAGAACATGGTGTCATATAAATAACAAGTTACAGTCTGAAACTTCTATTAAAATGTTGTTGTTTTTTAAAAAGAGGATGAAACAAGTGTAGGTATCCAAGAACTATCTGCCTTTGCACCTCACTGCAGTGCTAAAACAGGAGATTTTTTTTCCTCTGAGGGATTTTGGCTGGAGCACACCATAGCAAAGTAACCATCAGGAACCAAAAGAGAGCAACTGAGTCAAGTTTTAGAAGGGATCTTGTTAGGCCTACTTGGGATGGAGCATAACAGGCCTTAATTCACCTACGTACTCTTTGGAGCTTTGCTTGCAGTTATCAAAGACTCATTTCAGGAGCTCACAGAGCTATAAAGTGTGGCATTTTACTTAACAAGGGTTTTGTCTGGAGATGCATTCCCCAAATGCATTTCCCCTCCAGTGGTTTTGTCTGAAGAGACATTCCCTAGAGATTTTATTCCCCATTCAGTACTGAGCCGTATGTCATCATGGTATTTCCCCCTTGCTGATACTTCTGATTTTGCAGAGTTGTTGCTCAGTATTCTGAGCAGGAATTCTTCTCTGGATCCTTCTTCACCTGTTCCAGGAAATTAATCATGGAAGCCTGGTATGCATGCAATGTGGGGTTGGCTTGGCTCAGAGATGCTGTGCTCTCACTGAACTTGGGTATTTTGCATTCAGGAGATTCTAGTACTCTTACTAATGCCTCTGTCAAGAATCAGTTCTATTACTGGAGACTACACTTGTGTCCTTTTCTATAGGCGTCTGATGTAGAGGCTGCTTATTATTACCACATAATATTCAATGTGGATTACCAGCACATGCTTGTGTCTTGTCAGACTATGCATTTGGTATGCCTGTTAGCCTGAACTGCCCAAAGAAGGTTGAGTGCTCTTACAAAGCATTGAAAACTCCACAGATACTGCATGCTGTGGTGTCTCTCTGACCTTCCAGACCTTTTCTTCCAAGAGACAGAGGGTGTGAGCAAAGCAACATGTGCTGTCATATGCTGAACTCCTCCTGTCTGATCATAAATGAAGCAAAGAGGCCCATCCACTAGCCAGTGGCAAATGTGTGTTGTTGAAGCTGCAGCAATTAGTTCTGCTGCATGAGTGCTGAACTCTTGTTGCCCATCCATCAATACATCACTTCTCAACTTCTGATGGATACGAACAGCGTGTAGCTGCACAAGCACTTGCTATTGTCCTCTGCCCATTCTTGAACATCATGAATCTTTCTGCCACCACTCCATAAAGAATACAGATAACCATAATATATAGAAATGAAAACATACCTGTTCTCCTCTCCTTCTCTTGCTGTGCTTCTGCTCTGATGCTCCTTCCCATAAAACCAGACACTGGAGCTCTACTATATCCCTGTTTATATCTATCTCAAGATAAAATAAAAAATCCCTGAATATTATCTACATTCCCCCCCCCATCTAAATACCAGCCAAATCCAAATAGACACTTATATTCCTATTTGTTATGTATTTGTATTTTCAGCGTCCCTTGCAGACATATTTTCTTTTAAAAAGGCAATTTGAAGAACTGATAATTAGGACTTAATTTCCTCCTTATTGCACACGTATCTCCTATTAATGTTAATGGAACTTGTTTGCAGAATGAAAGAAGAGTAGACCCCAAAGGCAGAATACAAGTCATTTAATAAAGTATCTGAACTGCATAATAAGTCCACCCTTTGACTTGATTTGGCTGAATATTTGGTTTCCTGCTTCTGACATGACACACATTGTGAGTGTTTATAAAAGATTTACATTGCAACAAAAATATCAATTTTACTGAGTAATTTATTGCAGGACCTGACCCTTTAGACACTCGCTTGCTCTGTTTATTATATGTTGGTTTTTGGCTGTAAGTGCATGGTTTATGATAATTTACATTTCTGCATATTTGTAAGTTTTGTCAGTTTGAAAAAAGGAGTTCAAGTAGCTCTGTCTTGGAAAACAGGGACTCAGTGAAAATAACGATGGTTTATATATTCTAAACAATTACTTGAATTTTAACGTTTTTTGCAGTGTTGTTGTAGCTGTGTTGGTCCCAGGATATGAGAGAGGCAAGGTGGGTGAGGTAATATATTTTTATTGGACCAAACTTCTGCTGGTGAAAGAGACAAGCTTTCAAAGATATTACCTCACCCATCTTGTCTCTCATGCATTTTAATGAAATAAATAATGAATAAGATATTTTGCATGACTTCCTCATTGTTTAGTGATTCCACCAGGTGTGCTGCTCTGTCATATTAGTGTTAATGAGGAAACCAATATGTGCAGATGGAAGAAATGTTAAAAGTAGAAGTGGGTGGATGAATCAGACAGCTAAGCTAGCCCCAGCCTTCATTCTACAAGCTTTCAAAATATTTTTTAAAGTTTTTATTCTTTCTGAAAGCACACACACACAAAAAAATCTTCCCAGACTTTTAATTTCTAGTTGCATGTTTTATACATATCTTGAGTCACTGTATAAGTGCCCTGTCGTAAAACAGAGCCCTAGTCGAGCAAATAGAAATAGTTGTTATTGTTCTGTTGCATTATATACACTTAGCAATATCAGAAAGCATTTTTTTTCACAGTATACCCTGTATAGGTGGATGCTGCAAGGGAATTATTTTAGACTACGGATGGGATTTTCAAAAGATCCTAAGGGAGTTAGGTGCATGGCTGCCGGAAAACAAGAATACCAGTTTGTGAAAAATGTGGAGGTTTCAGAATTTGGTTTTGTTCCATATCAGAAGAAAATCAGGATATATGAACTTTTTTCATGACCAAAAAAAAAGTGTTTGTGTGAGAGAGAGCCACCTGAGAATTGCTAATAGCCCAGGAGTTACAGCACACATCTGTGACATGGGAAACTCAAGTTCCTACTTTGCCTGACTATCTCTCTGGCTCAATAAATATGTAATAAGTCCCTGCTCAGCCTGATTCAGAGCAGGGACTTTGAACCTGGCCCTCCCACATCTCAGGTGAATGTGCTAATCACTGTTATTGGCTATTCTGAGTTGGGTCTCTCTCTCTCTCTCTCCCCTCCTCCCTCTCCCTCTCTCTCCCCCCACTCCCGAAATTCCACCTTGGACCTCAGAAAATTTCATTGAAACTGACACTTTTCCACTAATAGTTTCATTTCAAACAAATTGGCATTTTCCAGTGAAAAACTTTTTTGTTAAAAAATTCCTGACCAGCTCTAGTTAGATGTTCCAGTCCCTTTGAAAGTCAGTGCGCACTGGGGCCCAGATCCACAAAGGGACTCACGTGCAAAATGTAGGTGCCACTGGCTAAGACACTTACCTGAGAAATGGGGAATCTGTTCAAATACCTTCTTCTCAATAAATTGGAGAGGATTCAGAGAAGAGTCATGAGAATGATTAAAATATTTGAAAACATGCCTTATAGTAATAGGCTTAAATAATTCCATATATTTAGCTTAACGAAGAGAAGGTTAAGGGGTGACTTAATTACACTCTCTAAGCATCTACACAGGGAACAAATATTTAATAATGAACTCTTCAATCTAGCAGAGACAGATATAACATGAAGCTGAAGCTAGATAAATTCAGTTAGAAATAAGGTATAAAATTTTAACAGTGGGAGCAATTAACCATTGGAACAAGTTACCTAGGGTCATGATGGCTTCTTCATAACTGAAAAATTTTGTATCAAGATTGGATATTTTTCTAAAAGATCTGCTCTAGGAATTAGTTTGGGGAAGTTCTATGGACTGTATTATACAGGAGGTCAGACTGGATGCTCCCTTTTGGCCTTAGAATCTATTAATCAAAATTCAGTAGGAATTTCAGGTGTTCAGCACTTTAAAAGGTTAGGCCAAAGATTTTATGTCTAAAATATTTTTGAGGGGGAAGATTAAGGAAAGTTATATTGCTCTAAAGGTGAGCCAAGCATTAAAAGGGAACACGGAAAAATCTAATAGAATGGAGAACTGATCATTGTAAACATATATTTACCTAGCTAGGACCCTTGGTCTACAAGGTAAAAGGGATTCTTCTATATCAAGGATCTGGACACACTGATCTATATGTTTATCACTTACTGACTGGATTACTGTAGTGCATTTTATCTGAACCTGAAAGAAAAAACAAAAATGGAGGTGGGGGATCACTGTCATCAAAATTTTCCATCAAAATGTTTGCCTTTTAATAAAAAACAAAAACAAAACAAACATTAAAAACCTGAAAACTGAAAATGTTTCAGATGTTGGCGAGAAACTGAAAAGCTTTCAAATGAAATTTTTGGGGTTTCAGTTTTCTGATGACAAATTTTTTATTTTTTTTAGGAAAGCAGACAGCTCCTGCAAAAATATTATTTTCAACAATCCCCCAATTTTTAATCAATTTTTTTAATGTAAATTTTGAGCAGGCCTAATACAAGGTCTGGATCCTGATCTTCAAATCCATCAACAAATGAGGACTCAGCTACATCAGTGACTGCATCTCCATCCTTAAGCCACCAAGAAATTGGTGCTTGATTGGAACAATGCAGCAGACAAAGTTCAGGACAAAATGCCTAAGAGCTGGAGATAATGTATGTCCTGTGGAGGTGCTGGCTGTGAGCCAGCTTCCAGAGGAGATTAGTTTAATCTAGATTCTAACCACTTTTGGGATGCTCTGCAAGACATCAAGCCACCTCCTCCTTCCTTAGCTGTGCTGTGCAATCCTCAGCCAAATGTCTGAGATATAGTGTACACATTCTGGCTAAACAAACATGTCCGGCATATATAAACCTGACCTCTCAAAGGGAAAGGTCGAATTTACTTGTTTTTCTTGGTTGTTTGTTCTGCAAGAGTGAATTTAGGTTGTTGAAAAAGAATTACCCAAAGTGCAATTCATGAAAGAATAGGCATTGCAACCTTGGGACCAAATTTCAAACAACATCAATGCTCAATGCTTTTTTCTCTTGGAATGATTTTACTTCTTTGCACTGCGTCCAGTTTACCAAACCAAATTGGTACCTCAGCAGTGAGATACCCTCATACAGTTAATATATGATATTTCAGACTACACTGCACTCAGTGCTTTTGCATGCAAAACTCACAACTTATGAGAAGTGTTAATTCATCCCATCCATCTCACTGGATGTTGACACTGAAGCCTAATGATGCAAACATAAATGTCAACGTAGTTTCACTGCTGATCATTTTAAGAGAAACATCTTGTGATTCAGGGACTGTAGAGTACAGTATTTTTTTTCAAATCTGATCCCTTACTTTCTTAAAATACATTTTCATCAATTTTGTGTAACTCAAGGAAGGATGCTGCATTCTGCCCTAGTTAGAGCTTTTTCAAGGTTCAGATAACTGGATTGAAGAGGTAAAAAAGAGATTAGCTCCAAAAATCACAATGTTTCAGTAAAGGATTTAACTTGCATATACCTTCAGTGGTGAAAGTGTTAAATCACAGCTTTCAAATATGTTTTTGCTCAATTACTATGCTGATTTAAGTTCTGCCTTCTGAAGTTTGGAGTCTTACAGGTTTATGGACTGGTTGTTGCAGATCTGGGAATTGAGCAGAAAAATATTAGTCTGTATTCACAGTTATTACTTCACATAATGATTTTTAATGCTACAAAACCTCCTCATTCATCACTTGAATTAGGAGTTCATGTTGAATAAAAGAATATTATGAAAATTACTGTGTTTGTTCAGTGCTCGTTTTTCAAATGTGCTGTTTAGCCCACAGAAAGCACTAACAGCCACACTTTAAATGAAGGTTTCACTTCTAAATACTTCATAAATAATACATTGAAGGCTAACAGCAATTGATTTTATCCCTAATAAATTATTGTAATTTACTTATTTATTTTGATGTATTTAAATATACTCAATCCAGAGCACTGGGTACATTTACAGATATATTAATAACAAAAATCCATAATGTAAAATTTGGATCCCTGAATAGACATTCTAAACCAAACCTTACCAGATCCCACCTACAAAGACTTTCCCATGTCACATTCCCATTCCCTTAGCCCTCTTCACTGGGGGGAATAATGTGACTTGAAGGTCAGTAAATCCAGATTCTGAGGGAGCAAGTTCCAAAGTGCTCTTACTAGGGTGACCAGATGTCCCAATTTTATAGGGACAGTCCCGATTTTTGGGTCTTTTTCTTATATAGGCTCCTATTACCGCCCACCCCTGTCCCGATTTTTCACACTTGCTGTCTGGTCACTCTAGCTCTTACAGAAGTGATTTGCCTCCATCTCTGACCCATGCGCTAAACTAGAGGACTTGAATGTCTCAGCAGATCTCAGCTGATAAGTAACGCATTAGGAAGTGTTTAATTTATGAAAGACTGTTAGTCTTTAAGGTGCCACCAGACTCCTTGTTGTTTTAGTAAGAGCTTTATAGATTAAAGCTATAGTGGAATGAACATTCTGCAGCTCATAATTTGACAAGTGTAGATCCATTTTTGGCATGAGTTATCCATCTCCTTCCTGCTCTGCACTACTAGCTGATGCAGATGGTCAGCCGTGGCGAAGGGGGGTGGATTGCTTCATTTAAATAGATCAATGCCAGGGAGCTGTGGATGGGACTGTGTCTCGTGGGTGGGGTAGCTCAGTGTTGGTCATATGGTAAATTACTCCCATCTGATACTCTGAGTATTTGTTATTCATAAAATGTTATTTGTCAGAGCTAATTTTGAAAAGCAGCATTGAAATTTCTCAAACATGTTCACAATCCTTGTCCCGCCCCTTTTTCCTAACCTCTATCTGCATTTGTGACCAGTCACCTAAAGAACACTGCATTGTCTAGTGAATAGAGCACTGAGCTGTGTTAGAGAAGACCTGGGTTCTAGTCCCTACTCTGGGCAAGTTGCTTTACCTGGGTGACCCTTCTTGTTTCCTGACACCTTTTGTCTATTTAGATTGCAAGGCAGAGGTTCTCTCTTATTATAAACTGTATTTGTATATGCCTAGCGCAATGGGACTTTTATCTCAGTTGAGGCCTCTAGGTACTACTCTAATCTAAATAATGAATTACAATAAATGAATAGAATAAATTGTACTGTTAGTTTCCTGACAGTGTGACCTAAGCTTAAGAAACAGGAAGAGACTTGATAAAAATCACCGTGGCTTTGATTTTTCTCATAGAAATGGAGGACTGGGAAATGGAATAGTTTAGGGAGTAAGAGCTAGCAGGAAATAAACAGGCCCGAGGAGTTTAGTTAATTTGAAACCATTTTTTGCCCAGCCCCCCACTTTTTTTTTTGCGTGGGAAAAAACATTGTACATGGACCTGAGATTTAAAAATAGCTAGTTTCCTCCTTGATTGAGAAAGTTACAAGCCAAATTTATTGGCTGTCTAGAGACCTTATGTTCAGTTTCCTCTTGTCACATTCACACCAATTAAATAAGTGTGAATGCATGTGTTGTCCTATTTGTATAGATGAGAGCCAGATCCTTGTCTGGCTCATTTAATTGTTTCTGTGGGGGCAGTTCCCCAATCCCATATACAGCACACAGTATTTCATATAACTACCATAAAAGCCTTGTCACCTGAATGTTTGCAAATATGTGAACAAAAGTGGTCATGAGAAAGTAAATCTTTAATGTTTTTGTAAGGACATTCACAAATAGTGTTTGTTTTTTTATTTCTCTTTCTTTCTAATTAAAACCAATATCTTAACTTGGACAGAAATAACTGGTTTTAGGAGAAAGCCCTAGGAAGCCTTCTATGATGAGATAACTGGCTCTGTGGATATGGGAAAAGTGGTGGATGTGATATATCTTGACTTTAGCAAAGCTTTTGATATGGTGTCCCACAGTATTCTTGCCAGCAAGTTAAAAAAGTATATGGATTGGATGAATGGACTATAAGGTGGATAGAAAGCTGGCTAGTGGGCTCAGTGGGTAGTGATCAAGGACTCCATGTCTAGTTGGCAGCCGGTTTCAAGTGGAGTGCCCCAAGGGTCAGTCCTGGGGCCGGTTTTATTCAATATCTTCATTAATGATCTGGAGGATGGCGTGGACTGCACGCTCATCAAGTTTTCAGTTGACACTAAGTTGGGCAGAGAGGTAGATATGCTGGAGGGTAGGGATAGGGTCCAGCGTGACCTAGACAAATTGGAGGATTGGGCTAAAAGAAATCTGATGGGGTTCAACAAGGACAAGTGCAGAGTCCTGCACTTAGGAAGAAGAATCCCATGCACTGCTACAGGCTGGGGACCAACTGGCTAAGCAGTAGTTCTGCAGAAAATGACCTGGGGATTACAGTGGATGAGAAGCTGGATATGAGTCAGCAGTGTGCCCTTGTTGCCAAGAAGGCCAATGGAATATTGGGATGTATTAGTAGGATCATTGCCAGCAGATTGAGGGAAGTGATTATTCCCCTCTATTCGACACTGGTGAGGCCACACCTGGAGTTTTGCATTCAGTTTTGGTCCCCCCATTACAGAACGAATGTGGACAAATTGGAGACAGATCAGCAGAGGGCAACGAAAATGATTAGGGGTTTGGGGCACATGACTTGTGAGGAGAGGCTGAGGGAACTGGGGTTATTTAGTCTGCAGAAGAGAAGAGTGAGGAGGGATTTGATAGCAGCCTTCAACTACCGTACAGGGGGTCCAAAGAGAATGGAGCTAGACTGTTCTCAGTGGTGACAGATGACAGAACAAGAAGCAATGGTCTCAAGTTACAGTGGGGGAGGTCTAGGTTGGATATTAGGAAAAACTTTTTCACTAGGAGGGTGGTGAAGCACTGGAATGGGTTACCTAGGGAGGTGGTGGAATCTCCATCCTTAGAGGTTTTTAAGGCCCGACTTGACAAAGCCTTGGCTGAGATGATCTAGTTGGTGTTGGTCCTGCTTTGAGCAGGGGATTGGACTAAATGATCTCCTGAGGTCTCTTCCAACCCTAATATTCTATGATTCTATTTACAATGAATTTCAAAAGTGACAAAAGTATAAATCACTGTGGCAAGATCCACTTTGGGAAGAAAACATTACAACCTCCTGGTCAAGCATTGATTTAACAGATACTGTTAGTTACTGCTGCTCTCTGGAGTGGACATCCAGAGGCAGCTGAAGAGCCAATAAAACTCTCAAATTGCAAAACTCAGTGTTAATAAGCAGGCAACCCCTTTTAAAATGTGCGAGCTAATACAATCTCCTATGTTTCTCCCAATAGCTTTCTCCAACCGGTCAGCCAGACCTGAGTGTTCTGTTGGTTATGCCTTAAACATCTCACCTGCATACAGCTCCTGATCCCAACATGGAAATTAGTCAGCTACACCAACTGTATCAGATGAGACAAAAAAATTAGCACCTGTTCCAGTGTCAATAGAAGTCAAAGAGAATCCTTCCAATGACTGAAATGGTGTTTGTATCAGACACATCCTGTTGAGTGTCATGCACATACTGGAAGCACCACAGCCCATACCCACCCCACTTTCTCTCCTAAAGTCCCATATATAACTGTAGAAAAGGGAAGTGACAGAATCTGGTGAGACCCCATGCAAAAGGGAAGTTCAGTGATTACCCCATAACATCATCTGAATCTTCCAGGAGGAAAAAGAAAGGAGCTATTCAAGAGTGACCCCATCTATTGTTAGCAGGATGTGCAGCCATGTCAACAATATCTTATGGTCAATGGTAGCAAAATGAGCCAGTAGGTTTAAAAGGATCAGTGTGGATGTGATGGTTCTTGACTCCGGGACTGTGAGTCACCTTGTTAACCTCTGCCTCCAGCAAGAGGGAGTCTTGCTTGCGGTAGGTGGGTGTCAGCTCCCTGACATCACCAGCTTTTTGGCCACTCAAGCACTCTCCTCTGGACTGTGCCAATCCTAATTTCACCTTGCAAGTTAACAATAGGTGCACCCCAGTCCCCAAGTCCCTTTGAATCATTCCCTTGTGATATCCAGCCCCTGACACTAGCCAGGGCGATCTCCAGCCTGCTACAATGATCCTTTTCCCCTTCAAATGGTTTTGATCATTTGCATTTGTCTTTGATGGCTTTCCATTGACTACGCAAGGATGTGGCAAGGTTAGACAATAGACCCTTGCATTATCGTGCTGGCTGACTAGGGAGAGGTGACAACTCCCTGTTGCTTGAAGGGGTCATCACCGAGACACATTACCCCCGGGAACTAATTTCTATTCCAAGTCCATGATGTATAGTTTCAGTGTAAATACGTTATTCCTTAAATATTACCCGTACATACATCTCGCTATGATTATGAATCTTGAAAAGTTACGAGCTTTCTGTAGATACCTTGCATGTTACTTTTTATTCATAAATATCCTGTCAGATATATTTGGTGTAGGGAGTTTGTCAGTTCTGAGGTGAGAAAAGTTTGCAAAGAACAGGAGACTCTTTGCCAAGGGGTCTGTGCGTCACAGGGGACTCTTGATTTTTGGTCTCCTGCCAGAAGATTATTGACCAACAAAACTAGTGCAGTCTGTGTACTGTACTTTGATCTATATCTACATTGACAAGAATCAAGGAAGTCTGAAACTACTATATCATCATTGCATACAGAGAAATGTATAAATTATTATATCTTCAAATATGTAAGTACTTTGTAACACATTTTAAAATTACACACAACTCATAGATTCATAAATTATAAAGCCAGAAGGGATCATCGTGATCATATAATATGACCTCCTGCACATTGTAAGCCACAGAACCTCACTCACCCATTCCTGTAATCGACCCATAACCTCTGGCTGTGTTACTGAAGTCCTCAAATCATGATTTAGACGTCAAGTTGCAACACGTTAGAATATTCCTCACATTTGTAGTCTGTAATGTTAAAAAGCTGATTTAAGCATGGATATTTTATTATTAACATTAACCTTTTGCAAGTTAACCTTCATTTATGGTAAATTCAAAAACTGACATATTTTAAATGAACCCCCTTTTGGTTTAAATCATGGATAAAAATAATTCTAAACTCCAGAGTTTTATTGTTTTTGAGACAGTGAATATATATTTTTGTGAAAGAAGAAATGAGTTTGACCTAACAATCTATATTTTGAGTTTCAATCTGATGTGATGTATCTGAGAGGTCAGCTTTTTTCTATATTAGAATTTCTAAATAAAACAATGATAGTCCTTAACAACAGCATCACTGGTATGAAGATACATTTAGATAGTTAGTGGATTTATGTTCTGATGTTCGGAGACTTACAGGTGACTTATTTTCACTTGGATATATATTATAGGGTAAATTCTGATACCCCTAACCATGCTGAATAGCACTACACTCCAAAAGTGGTCCCACTAATTTCAGGGGGATTACTCATAAAGTACTGGGTACTGTTAAGCATTAATACGGGTATCAGAATCTGGTCCAAAACAAAAGCATAATGTGATAATTCCATTATTTTTCTACTAATGAGAAAGTACATTTGTATTCTATTTTCATTTTTTGCTATTCTGTCTGATGATCTTTTAGACTGTATTTTAAAATAATGTCAATGTTTAAAATATGTACTTCTACAGTGTCGGTCATTAAATTTACACTGTACATAGCCTGTGAGGAGACCCAAATTCATGGTGTGCACAGTAAATCAGAGTACTCCTAAAAGATTTTACACAAAGGGTTTAAAAAGTTATCCATTGTTAATGCTAAGATATATGATGAATACAATGAGGTATAACACTACTCTCCCTAATTGCTGCTTCTTTATTGAAAACAGAAAATGAGGATGCCATCTTGATAGGTGACAAATTGCAGCCACACAGATCTGCTTGAAGTCCAAATAGATCATTCATTTTAGATTATACTTGGTGCAACTCAGTTGGAAACCAAGTACAGAGCTCCTGAAGCAAAACATTACATTTGCATCAAGATTTGTTCAAAAATATTCATTTTAACTTCTTCTTTGAAGCAATTTTTCCACCAAATCAGCAGTTCTCTAGTAGTCAACTCACACCTTTCTTTCACTTCCTCCTTTTATTTATAAATCAGGTTTTCATTCAGATCATAAATAATTGGTATTAGCAATATGAAACATGAGGTGTGTTTTATCTTTTAGTTTTATTCCAGGTTTTATTAACAACAGTGACATAACATAATGATGTAATAAATATTAGAGTTATCCTATATCCATTCATTTTCCATGTTAATGGGTACCATTAGATTGATCGACTATTTTATCCACATACATCTTCAAGCTCTCTGATGTACAGTTGTTCCATGTTAGGCTATTGTGACTTTTCTAATGGAAAACAATTTAAGAAATAGCATCTGCAACAAGGTCAGTGACATATATTTGTTTTGAAAAAAGAAAGGAGTGACCTACATACCATCTGTAATGACTTTGCCTTCCAGTTATAAAAGCACTTCATGTCTATTTATTTCCACACTGAAAATATAGAAAATCCAAGATATCAAAGTCTGTAATCCTTCCAAGGAAGGGGAAAATATTTTGCAATAACTAGTTAGCTAGTGAGTGTAAGGTCACAGTCACTGGTGAATTCTTGATATACTCCTGTACTCCACTGAATATTCATCTCCATTTGTAAACTGGTGACTAGAGCTGTGCAGAACTTTCATAGTGAAGCCTGAAATTCAAGAGAGATTAGCCAGTTTTCAGGCTGCATGGCCAAAGCAAAACTTGTGCTTTATTTTGTGCAGGAACAGTTAAAAACTCATGGTTTTTATGGTTCAACCCAAATCTAGACACAAAATGTGTTGGTTTGACTGAGTTTTGCTTTTGAATTCTGGGGTCATGAGCTTCAGACCTGAAGGTGAAGCTTAGGGCAGGTTTTCCTATGAGAACTCAAACTTAAAAACAGGTTCACTCAAACCTCTGTAAACAAAAAACCCCCCCACTGATATTAGTTCATCTGACTGGTAACCCACCCATAACATGAAAACCGACTATTCAAGGTGAAATTTAGCCCTTATTCTAGTTACATTCTTAAAGCCACTTAGGATAGCAATTATACTTAGGCCTAAACTGAACTGTCAGCCCAGAAAAGAGTTCACAGCATGAATTTTTCATTATTATGGACTGAATCCAAACATCCCAAACTTTGGGAACATTCAGATCTTGAGTTCATACTACAAAATCTGGGAGCATTCAGAGTTATGTGTTTGATTGAACCAATACAGAGACAAGTAATTAATGCATAAGCTGAATGTGTTTTGGAAATGTGGACAGTATTAGCAATCTGAGGTATATTAGATGTATGGATATGACTTCAAGAAAATAAAGAAAAGAAAACAAGCAGTCCTAGATGATAGATAAGAAAGTTTGGATATATATTTGATTGTGGTTTTATTTTCAGGTACATCTCCAGTGCTGAGGTTAAAGATATAATAAAAACAAGTTTCAAAATGGATTTTTAGATATCAAAGTGTGGTGTACAGTATGAATAGAGTTGAAATAATGTCTTTGTTTCTATCACAGTAGATATGAAAGGTAATGGGCCAGATCCTGAACTGTGGCTTAGAAACATCTGGTGAAATTCAGTGTGGGAGGGGAGAGTTCAAAGGTGATCCTTAGTGTGTTCTGTGCTGGGCTAGTCCCCTGGCACAAACTGGATAATCCTGAAAGATGTTCAAAACTGTGCCAGCTGACCTGACCCTAAGGGATATCCCAGCAACTAGGGAATAATGAGTCAGAGCGTTGTGCCATCCATGTCTCCTTTGTATCATTCATGCCTCCTTTACATCATCTATGTTTACTATGTAGGGTGAACTATACTATGCAAGGGCCTGGAGAAGAGATTGTGTAGGAGTCACTATAGCAACTGCATGCCACTAAAGGAGTCTTCAAGTGGCTAGGCAAACCACAGAGTTCAAAGGCCATGACCGGCTTTTGTACGTACTTCACACAGAGACGTGCGATGTGGAAGGCTACTGGAGATTTGTGGGTGAGAGAATTCTGGGGAAACTTGAAGGTCATTTACAGAGAGTGATAAAAAGTCTGGATAATTTAAGAACATGAAAATGCCCAAACTGGGTCATAGATGCTGGAGCTAAGCATGCTGGGGGTGCAGCAGCACCACCTGATTTGAAATGGTTTCCATGATATATAGGATTTACAGTTTGGTTCAATGGTTTCAGCACCCCCACTATAAAAATTGTTCCATCACCTATGTACTGGGTCAGATCAATGGTCTGTCCAGTATCCTGTCTCCTGCCAGCAGCCAGTGCCAAATGTTTCAGAGAGAATGAACAGAACAGGGCAATTATCGAGTGATCCATCTCTCTGTCGTCCCATCTTCAGCTTCTTGCAATCAGAAGTTTAGGGACATCCAGAGCTTGGGGTTGAGTCCTTGACCTCTTGGCTAATAGCCATTGATAGACCTATCCTCCATTAACTTATTTAATTCTTTTTTGAACCCAGTTATAATTTTGGCCTTCAAAACATCCTGTCAAGAAGTTCGACAAGTTGCTCAATGTTGTGTGAAGACATACTTCCTTATGTTTGTTTTAAACCTGATGCCTATTCATTTCATTAGTTGACCCCTAATTCTTGTGTGATGAGAAGAGGTATATAAAATTCTGTGATGGGGGTATACAAACCCCACACTTTGCAACCAGGGGTTAAGGAGTTGCTCTGGGCTTAGCCAGCCCCTCCCCCCCGACACACACACCTGTAGCAAATGCTACAACTGGAGGAGTTCAAAGGCAGGGGAGCAGCTTGTTTGGTGGCAGACCTGGGAAGAGAGCAGACTTGCAACCTGCACCTCCAGCAGAGGAGAAGTGAGACATGGTAGAATCTCTCCCCACAA